GTGCCTTGAGCATCCGCTATCCAGGTACCAAAGGGACTCTTGTTGCTGTTCCTGAAAGATCAAACATCAAGTATTTGGTACCCTTAAGTGTTTTGGGTCCTTAGGAGTCAAATTTTACGTTTAACATGTTTTGGAACCCATCTCTTCCTACCTTGCGGCACAAAATATTTCCTAGCATGACAAAATTTTATAGTATGTCCTTTCTTCATGCAGTAATGACAAGATGAGAAAGGGGATGTTGTAGCTTTTCTAAATGAAAAGAAGTTCAAATATTTTTTAGTTTTTACCCCAATCTTAGGTTTGTACCCGATTCCAGTATGTTCAAATACACAGTTTTGAGACCCAAGGAGTGCATCTAAATTCTCTTTACCTTGAGTAAACTTAGACAAAGTTTTAATCAAGTAATCAACCTTATCTTGCAGAAGAATACACTTTTCACACTTCTTATTAGCAGCAACATTATCACGCAGATGCATAGATTATATCTAGATGTTCTAAATCTGTTTTGCTTTCTAACAGTTCTTTTTCCAGAACTTTAACTCTATTTTCTAACCAGTTATTTAATCCTTTTAACCGATTATTTGTATGAGATAAATTTTTGGCTTCACTATGCATTTCATTGAAAGCATTCAGTAATGTGTTGTAATTCATTTCATTTTCTGTAGGAGTTGAACTTACATGTGATGAAGAAGATTCACAACCAGCCATCAAACATAGGTTCACCTCTTCACCTTCGGATCCAGAAGCTGGAGGATGAATCATTGTCTTGCCAAGCTATGTAGGCCTTTTTCCCTTTGTATTTTGAATCTTTCTTGTTCGATTCTTGGTCTTTTCGGACAGTCACTCCTTATGTGTCCCTGCTTACCACAAGAATAACAAGTAATAGCATTTTGAATAGATTCGGTCTTTTTATCGGTGTACCTTTTTACTTGGCCGGTTCTGTTCTTCCTTCTAAGAAATTTCCCAAATTTCTTAACCAACAAAGTCAGATTTTCGGATTCATCTTCTTCGGACTCACTTGTTTTCTTCAATCGTCTTGAGAACAATGTTTCTACTTTTCTTTTCTGCATTCTCTTGTTCTTTGAACCGATTGATTTCCAACTCATGTTCCCTTAACTTACCAAATAGTGAAGCGAGTAGTCATTTCGAGTCAAGTCTCTTGATTCCGATATAGTTGTCACCTTTGGTTGCCAAGTTCTGTCCAAACACTTCAAGATTTTGATGTTCAACTCTTCCTTGTCAAAAATCTTTCCTAGCCCAATTAGATGATTGACTATATGCGTGAACCTTTTACGTACATCTGCAATTGTTTCTCCTTGCTGCATTTTAAACAATTCATAGTCCCTAATTAACTCATGCTTTCTCGCTCTTTTCACATCAGATGTACCTTCATGTGTGACCTCTAGAATTTCCCACATTTCTTTGGCGAGAGGCACATTGAGACACCACTGAAAAACTCATCAAGATTTAAAGCAGAGGTAATAATATTTTTAGCGGTATAATCATATTGGACTCTCCTATTTTCCGCATCGGTTAATTCAGCCCAATTTTTCTCAACTACTTTACCATCCACTGTATGAGTTGGTTTGTAAGGACCATTGACAATTGTTTCCCAAATACCTCTATCAAGAGATTCAATAAAGATTTTCATTCTAACCTTCCGGAAAGAATAATTCACACCGAGAAAAAGAGGAGGCCTGTTTATGGAGGCTCCTTCGAAAAATTCATCTTTCCCTCGGCCATTCTTGGACCGATTTCTTGAGTAACTTACAAGAACCAGCTCTGGTACCAATTGAAAGAATTAATGGTTGAGTTCAAGAGGGGGGTGAATTGAACTTTTGAAAACTTTTTCGCAAAACTTACTTTCTCTTGGAAGAATGAATTATCTTTATTTAATTCTTGTGTAGATAGGTTGATTTTAATTACAGCAAGTATATAGACAAGAAATAAAGGAGATGAAAGAAGAAATTCAACACAACAATTTATACTTGGTTCACTCTATACCGAGCTACATCCGAGTTCTTGACAAATCTGCCAAGTTCCACTAATACCAAGTGAAAATTACAACCAGGTAGATACTCACCAATCTACCCCAAGAACTATCTTGCAAACCCACAAGATAGCCTCTTGAAAACCTCCCGAGTAACCAAATCCGATTCATCGTAACAAGTGCAGATCCAAATTCCAACCTGCACAAACACACTTTACAAAAGAGTATGAAAAGAAAAAACCTGGACTGAAGCTTTATCGGTACAATTGTCCGAAACGATTCTAACACAGACACTTTCTCTCTTTGATTGACCACAATTTTGATCAAAGCACCTTATGATATAACAAAGTTCTTGAATGCGAGAGAAAGTAACGGATATGATAGCTTCACAGATTGATTTCAAATGTTTTCTCAAGTTGTGTATTCAAAAGATAGATCAAATCTGTATTTATAAAGTAAAACAGAGAACCAGAACGTTTCATTAATTAAAAACAGAATCAGAGATGCAACTGATCGATCAGAATGAAAATATAACAGGTTAGAATCGATTATGATTGATTAGAAAAGTATTATGATCGATTAGAATAAGTTATGATCGATCAGAATGAAATTATGATCGATCAGAATACATTTCAATCGATTAAAACGACGATTCAATCGATTGATTTCATTTAAAACTTCATTCAATCGATTGATTCGAGTTTTTAATGGATTAAAACAACTTTATGAAAAATGATAGCTCTCTGTTTCAATAGATTGAAAATCATTTCAACAGATTGAAAATCATTTCAACATATTGAAATCCTGCAGACTCTTGGATAGAAAAAATAGTCTTTCTGTTTCAACAGATTAAAAAACATTTCAACAGATTGAAAATACGAAACCTTGATATTGAAAAATTCATTAAGTCATTTTAACCTGTTGATTCTGCGATTCAACCAATTGAATTTTCGACTATGTATGACCACTTATTATGTTAAGTGATTTTAACAGATTGAAAATCATTTTCAACAGATTGAAAAACTTAGTTTGTTCTTTTAATGCTTAAATGTTAGTTTTTCATGCAGAAAAATGATTTCACTGAGATGCATCATATTAAGGCGCTTATCACAAAATATATTGGCCTATCAAGAGATTAAGTTCTATACTTAGCCTATTCATCTACACACCCACAAACTAAACTATATCTACAAAATATTATGTCTTCATCAAATCCACCAAGTGCTTCAGATATCATAAAGCGTATATTTGGGATATGTATACGGAAAATCAGCGAAGTCTAATGAAAGTGTAGGATTTTATTTTTCTGAAAAAAAATATTCGTCTTTTCATCTTCATGTGAAGAAAAGATATGGAAATCTAACTTGTGTATATAATATGTAAAACATATTTGATAATGAGTTATGATAAATTGTTTAAAAAAAATTATTTTTTCAGAAAAAAAGAATTATAGTAATAATAATAAATCATTAAAAATAATAAATAAAATTATTAAAAAAAATATATATATATATATATATATATATATATTTATTTTAATTTTTTCTCTTAATCCAAAAATCACTCTAATTTTTTTTCTTTCTTTTTCTCAAATTTACTCTCAGATCCAGCTAACTTCATACTAACAAACATATCAAACGGTGCATATGAGAGAGACTTCTTGACAATTTTTTAGTGCTTGTGGTGAAAAAATGGTTTCATACATTCCAAAGAAATTAAATTTATTCCTAATTAAGATTTTCTATCCAAACCACTTCTTAATTGTGGATTCTTTTTAATTAAACTAGCAAGTAAAACTTTTTCAATTAAACTTGGAAAAATAAACAAGTTATTCAATAATTAATATAAAGTCTACCTTTATATAGATCTCTCACATGATGAAGATATTTATAAGATTATCTAAAAAAAATCCGACCTATTTTGAAGTAAACTTTTTATACACTTTCAAATTCTTCTCATAGTGGGTACAACTCGGTCCACTAATTTTTTGAAGAAATTAAGTCAAGGTTGACCAGTCTTTAAATTTTTGTGGTGTAGGATAGATTGAGGGCTAAGAAAGGTATATATGAGTATTATTTTCAAATTATAAAGTTCAAGCAATTTTATCAAGGATGTTATGATCCTTTTAGATTAGAACCAACCTTTAAAAATGTAGCTTTCTCTCTTTGATCCAAAATTTATCAAAATCGAGACTTAATACATATCCAAACCCTTCAGGAAAAAACATCTTCAAAAAATATTGTCCAAAGAACCTCTCTACTTTCCCTTATGCCCCTTTTGGCATCTCTAAACCTTTAATACACCCAAAATGAGTTTGAGACTTAAGATCAAACTAAACATTGTATCCTAAACCTATAACAAGTCTATCACTATTTCAAAATTATTTTATTACCCATTCCTTCACCTATCTAAACTTGCCACCATGGGTAACACATCCACCATGTGTCTATCTTGACTAATACACCTTTTGGTGAGATTTGTTTTCATTTGTGCATTTTGTGTTATCTGTTTATTTCTGAGGTTACTAATGTCTTGAATTTTTCTTATTTTCAGTCTCTACATCAATAAGGATCCTCGATCCGAGGCCAAAACAACAGAGACTGAGACTACATAAATGGTCACTTCGACAAATATTTCATGTAATCTAGATTCCTTGCTCAAGTGTCATTTGTGTTTGCTCCTCCTTCCTCATCTCCTATTGAGGTATTTACTCTCTTGCTCATATTTTTTTTTCAAGCTTTGATTATGTTATCATTATTTTCCCTGTTCTTTGCCCTTTATTTCCTTACACAAGAACCTCCATTGTACATATAAGTTATAACACATGTTCCGATTGATTCGAACATTGAAACTACTATCCAAGGTATTTTCTAATCTTTGATTTGAATCCTTATACTCTTTAATTTATTCTTTATATACCATTGTAAGTGCTTGTACTTATCATATGTATCTGAATTATATTCATTTTCTACAAAATCTACTAGCCAACAAGTCACTACTAATTTACCAGAATTTGCTCCATGTGAGGTTGTCCTGACACCTATCTACTCCCTTGGCAAAGCATTGACTAGCAACAAAACTGTACTTTTAGAGGAGACCGAAAAGGATCCATTTAACATTCTAGACTTGATGACAACTCACGTGAAGCCTTTTAAAGCAGTGAGAAGTTCTTCCTCCACAACTCCACCAAATCTCGATGCGTTGAAATTGGTAAACGAATTTCGACAATTCATTTACTCTGCTCCTTTGGAGGTTACCATCGATACTCCTAAAAAAGGGAGAGAACTCCAAGAGATCTTGGATAAGCTTCAAGCTATCTCATCTGAGCACCTCCCACTAGGTTTTGAAGAAGAATTTATGGTGGTGACTAATATGTTCAATGGGATCTAGACTTTACGGAAGAAAAAGCTAACATTGAACATGCAAAAGTTTGAGATTGAAATTGCACGAGCCAACAAAGTCGAAGCTTTAAACCATAACAAATCAAGATTTGAGGCTATCAAGCTAGAAAAATTTGCAACTGTTATATCCTTGGCGAAAGAAAAGGACAAATGTGCAAGCCTCGAACAACAAGTTTTTAATCTCTAACAACAACTTCAAGTCTCTAAAGTTAAATTTGAGGAAGTCTGACAATACTCTTAGGAATCATCAAGTTTAATCTCCCTATCCAAGAGTATTCTCTATCCTTAAAAGATTACTTAGTCTTGCTAATAATAAACAACAACAAACTTCTGTATCAAATGCATGGGATGCTATAATTGTAAAATTTAATCGAGTTCAATCGGAGCACAATGTATAAACCCTTTTCTATTTTCATAAATATTATTTTGTTTTACTTTAATTCAACAACTTTTCATCTACTTATAATTATATGTGGTAAGATCTAAATGTTTTTAAATATTAGTCATTAATCGACAAACGTGATTTCCCATCGTAATAATTAACAATAACATAAACATTATTCGATAATGCTTTAATAATCTCGAAGGGGTCTTCCAAATTCAGAAACCAATTCCAAAACACTTCAATTTTTTATCCACAGACAAAATAACTTTCTATACAATATCTCCTTCTTTAAACCACTTATTTTATTGTAAGGTTTTGCAACTTGATTCTTCAAATGCAATATTTGCTCTAAAGCATTAATTTTAACTTCATATAATTCATTCAATTTGTCAAAGGTTTTATCCTAATAATGTGATCTAGGCAAATCATTCTGTCTTTGAATTCAAATTGACTGTATGTTAATTTCGATGGGTAACACCACGTCATGACCATAAACTAACTTATATTGGATTATTTTTAATCCTTTAGAGAATTTTTATAAGCTCATAAAACTTGAGCCAGTGTCTCATGCTAATTTTTATGTTTATCCCCAATATGCTTTTTAATTATTAAGACTTTATGATATGGAAACATGCAATTTAAGTAGAGAAATTAAAAAGAGAGAAGTGGAAACATAAAGGGGAAGCTATGCAATTAAAGGAAGGAATTGATAAAATGGAAGAGAGAGAAAAAAGAAACTTATAAAAGTTATTCACGCCACTTGGAAGAAGCTCCCAGATAAGTGAAGGATGGTGATCGCCACTTGCTTCATGACAAGATAAGATCACAAAATTTCAACTAAGAGATAATCTCTATCTGAAGAGTTTGCAAAATGCAAAAACTAACTTTTATTCAATTTCAAGTGTGTGCATACAAGAGGAGTAGGGACTTTATTTATAGGCTTGGGAGCACAAGTAGTGGCATGAACTAGGAAATGTGGGACTTTGGAGCAACCAAGGGAGAAGTCCCACATCTCCCCACTACTTGTTCTCTTAAGTGTTTACAAGCCCAAAAAACACTAAAACAACAAAAAATAATCTAAGGTGAACTAAAATAAGTTAGAACATGTAAATGGGCCGAGAATACAAGCCCAAATTCTTATACTACTCTTTTTAGGAGAAGGAGTAAAGAAGCAAGGAGATAGTCTTGTTCATGCTTCATGTTACCCTTCTATTTTCTTCTTTTTGTGCCCCATCTATGATCACAACACTTTATTAATCACTTTCACTTGTCCATTCACTTATGCATAATAGGTGGTTGATGCTAACAACTTGATATTCCTTGATTCAGCATAATTCATAATCTTCTTTCTAGTAAACACTAATCATTGATCTGTTGATACTGACTCAAGAATTCCAAATCGATATATAATATGTTCCTTGATGAAATCAATCACATCTTTTTTATCAACATCTTTTAATGGTATTGCCTCGACCCATTTAGTAAAATAATCGAAGGCTACAATAATAAACTTATGCCATTTAGATGAGTGTGGATAAATTTGTCAATTAAGTCTATCGCCCAACCTCTAAAGGCTAATGTTTAATTATCAAATGTAATTCACTTGTTGGTAAATTTTGAATTGGTCCAAATTTTTGGCAATCTTCAAAGATTTGGCAAATTCAATGCAATCCTTTAAAATTGAAGGCCAATAAGACCCTCGTCAATACATTATCCACTTCATTTTATTTCCAATCATATGGATTCCACATATCCCATTATGAACTTTTGCAATAGTTATATATGCTTCGTCTTTTCGTAAACATCAAAATAATATTTGATATACAACTCTTTTATATGATTCTTTATTCAATACAACATAACTTTTAGATCGATACATTATTTTCTTATCAACAGGCTTTTTGAGATCATTTAAATATTCAAGTATTATAAATTTCCAATCATCGTTACTTAGTTTATTTACTTGAAGTACTTCAATTTCTTTGGGTTTTTTTTCCTTAATTTGCATCAACTTGTTAAAAGTTTGATTTAAAATTTGACATCTCGAGACAATTTGTGTTAACTCGTTAGCTTCATGATTATATTATCAAGATATGTGTTCAAAAATAATGTCATCGAACTTGGATATTAACATAAAAACTCTTTCCAAATACTTAAGTAAATTTTAATTTTAGCATTTGTATTATCGATTCATTTGTCTAATGACTAATTATGAGTCTCCATGAACCAATACTACTTTCAATTAATGTTTCTAAACCTAGAATTAATGTTTCATATTCAGCTTCATTATTTGAATACCCTGCCTTTATTTCAAATAATAACTTAGTAGGAATATTTGCAGGTGAAATAATAACAATTCCTAGTCATGTTCCATCCATTGTACTAGAATCATCAAAATATAAGTATCCACCTATTTGTTTCAGAAGTGTATATCTCCTCAATCTCAACATGTGTGTGATCAGAAAAAAATCGACTACAACTTTCCCTTTAAATGATTTCAAAGTACTGAATTGTAATGAAAATTTAGGCAATGCTAATACCCATTTACCAACTTTAATATGTTGTTCTTCAAAAAAACAATTACATCACAAGACTTAAGATACTGTTTAAGCTTAAAACAAGAATAATAAAGACATAACACCAATTGTTCAAATGCAGTGTATTAAATTTCAACATCTATTAGAAATCGAATCAAATAATAAATAACACATTTTACTCCTTTGAGTCTTCCTGAGCTAACATGCTTGCTATAATATTCTTTGATGCTGAAATGTATAATTTTAATGGATTTCCTCAAATCATTGGAATTAGTACAAGAGGACTAATCAATACTTGCTTTATCTTCTTGAATGACTTTTGATGCTCATGATCCCGTCTAAACTCATTATCATATATGATCTCAACAACAAAGAGAACACATAAGTCTTGCCAAATTTTAAATAAACCTTCTCAAATAATTGATTTTTCCTAATAAAGATTGTATTTCCTTTATATTTCTTAGACCACTAGTTTCCTAATAAATAATGAAAGATTACATTTATTTATCTTTGATACAATGCCCCAACATTTTTTAAACCAAATGACATAACAAACCATTCATAAGTACATAATACTCTAGGGCATCGAAGGGTAGTGTTCGACATGTCATTTTCAGCAATAAAAATTTGATTATATTCAGAATACCCATCTAAAAGACTTACCATTTCATTCCCTGCCATAACATCAATTAACATTTCTGCAACAAGCATAAGATATTCATCTTTTGGTGTTGCTTTATTTAAATATGTAAAATTGATACAATGATCCATTTATTTATAGTGATAACATACCAATATAATGAGTAGATGGAAAATCAAGGGACTAAAGCTGATATAGAAATCTAGGTGCAGAGATAGATATAACTCATAGGTTAATAATTTCAACACTCTCTCCCTTAAGTTGGAGCATGCAAATTCTATGTAAAAAGTTTGGAACAAATGAACACAATCTGAGGACCTCTTAATGATTTTGTTAACACATATGCAAGTTGATCATTATATCTAATAAACTCCATACAAATTTTCTCGAATGAAATGATAGTCAATCTCAATGTGTTTCATTTTCTCATGAAATATTGAATTAGAGGCAATGTGAAGTGCAACTTGATTACCACAATACAGTTTCATGATTTGAATCTCACAACATTTGAGCTCTTGAAGGAATTGTCTCATCCACACCAAATCGTACGTGAGAGATTTCGTTGCCCTATATTCAACTTTGACAGTTGATAAGACCACTACATTTTGTTTCTTGCTTTTCTAAGAAATAATATTTCCTCTAAGAAAAACACAATATTCAGTTGTAGAGTGTCTGCCAAAAGGGGATCTAACCCAATTAACATCACAATACCTAAATATTTGAGTATTATCTTTATCTTTATATAACAAACCTTGTACAGGAATCTTTTTTAGATACCTTATGATACGAATGATGGCATTCTAGCTGTCAATGCTAGGAGCCTGCAAGAAATTGCTATGCACATTATGCTTGCTATGAATTTGGGTCTTTATTTTTATCAACTTGTCTTAATTTAAATAATACCAAATTAGCTTTCTCCTATAAACCAAAAAAGATAAATACATGTACTGTGAATGTATGAATGTATGCTTTGATATGCAAAATGCAACAAATTTAGTAAGATTGAATTATGCTATGTTTTTTATAAAAACATGTTAAATGCATGGTTTACAAAGAGAAGAATTTGCTTAGAAATTGCTCTTAGATCAAGAAATAAAAAGTAGAATGATATACATCAGTATGTTAACCAAGTTTTTCCTTATTGAAAATTTTAACCTTGTCGCAGTCATCCTTACCAATTCACACTCAAGTATTTGAGTATAACATGTAGATTTCAACTGTCAAAATCTATTTAAATAATCATCGGTATTTAAATTATAATATATTTTTACATTCATTAAATCAATCAAACTAACTTGTGTTTCTCGTTTAAAAAATTACTTATGAAAAATTCTATCTAGTTAAGCCTAATTATAAATTGAATTTGGAGAAAATGTTGTAAACCATGTAAAGGCATCTTTTTTTTTTCAAAGAACTGAGAAAATATT